GTTAACGCGTCGGCGCCCGCTCTTCCACGAAACAGAATCAAGTGGCAAGAGGGAACGCGTGCGTAAAGAAACCGAAGACCTTGGTAGGCGGCTCCTGAAAGGGTCGCTGTCGACGCTTCTTTCGAAAGCGACGAGATTGAGTGGTGAGAGGGTCGAGAAGCTATTAATAAGATTATCACTTAAGCGCAGCCCCTGCGCCGTCAGCAACAGCCTTAAATAACAAGCGTGCACACATACTCGGCAGCGTACACGCGAGAATTATACGATGCCCCCCTTCTCTTCTTCGCATCTGGGTTGCAGGCGCTGCCCTTTTTTAGAACACCGGCCTCGCTACCATTAGAAGAGGGCGCGAAGAATCGCGACCTTAAGTGGCGGAGAGAGGAAGGACTCGTGGCCAGGAAAAGAGAGGGTGTGATAAGCGATCCCAATTAGCGAGCGCGGTCGGAGTTCGGGCTGCCGTTAACGGGTGGGGGTGGGTGGGGGGGGGGGGGATGGAAAGGCGAAAGCTGGAGGTAGCGAAACCAGCGCGCGCGGTAGTATTAGCCGTAACGCGCCTCAGCAATACCCTTCCCTCTTCAGCCTCCTTTTTAACGGCCGACTAAACAATTTTCGCGGCACACTGTGCCGAAAAAAAAAAAACAGAAGCAGCTCATTGACTTCTCGATGACAACGGAAGGTCAACGCTAAGGACAAGACGCATATCTTGCCATCTTGTAACGAAGAGAAGAGCCGCGAGAAGCGACTGAAATATTTGAGCAACCGCATATCGTTGCCCTCAGCAAGTATCCTGGCACCACCTGAGTAAGCATGACAAATTGAAAACCACATAAGTCCCTAAAATACCACATACTTTTCCACGACCAGTTCGATTGAACTGTGCCTGGATAATATCTTCCCGAGATTTTCTACTCCCCCCCCCCCCCCAAAAAAAATAGAACATCATTAACCGATGAAACGAGTCTCTGACGACTGTCAATAGATATTCTCGACGCATTTTCATGCAGTGCACTCCGAAACCAAGCATAGTTCATACGTGCAACACTACTGCACATGATTCACCGGGACGGCATGTGCTCCTGCACACCTATAGGATACGACCGTAACTCGCGATCTGATATACAACGATCGCTGTACTGTAGCAATCGTACATATGCGTATATATTATTAAGACCTTGCAAGCCGCACATTACCTTCGTGCGCAGAGAAAACCGAACGCTAGATAATGATGCAACGATTTAAGTAGTGTTCATTTAGCCGCGTTTTGCTATACGTGCTTTCAAAAAGAGGGCTTCCCGGCAAGCTTTCGTGTGCTTCAGTGAAGCCACATTTCAAAAAACCACTACGCGAGCGGGTGGCGGACGATGGACATACAGAGGAGACATACTTGGGGTAAAACCGACGCAGAACATACAGAGTGCTAAATTAGTAATGGAAACACAAAGAAAAAATGATAGCAGGTGCCAAGCGAATTCGGAGAATACGGCGGAAAAGTAAGTGGCGAATTACCTACTATTGTGAGAGAATGTTGCGTTTGAAGTATCGATAATAAACGGTTGCCAAATGAACTAGTGCTAAAAGATGCGGTCACCCGAGTCGCGGCCGACCCCCGCCTAACCACAAATTTCTTTCAATTAAGCCTTTACCAATATCGACCCTAAATTATTTGTGTAGTTAGGCCCGAAACTTTATACAGCTTATTCAAGTTACATCTCAACATTACCACCTGCAAATGAATACATCTTCTATTTCACTTGAAATAATGTCTTCGCCACTCCCTAAAAAAAAAAAGAAAAGAGGGGGAGCGTCGATAGCGTGCGATTCGTACACTTAGCGTACGAATATACTGGGACGTTGCAGTTATCTATACTCAATGCCGAAAAATGCCGCTAGGGTAGTTTTGCCACGCGCCATTCACAGAAGCGAGAACATTGAAAACAATGTCTTTAACACGAAGACCCTCAAAATAAGAAATAAAGAAATCGATATTCGATCCACCCATTCAACCGAAACAATAGGCGAATAATGTGAGCGGATTCGAGTGACAACACCCCGGTGAAAGGCCCCTCCCAGTTAACTGAGAAAAAAAAAATGAGAGAGATGACGGGAGACAAAAAAAAAAAGAAGAGTAGCACACGTCACGTTTAACGGGAACAATACACAAAGGCGCCCGAGGATCGAGAGAATAGGTCTGCCACATCACTCGCAAAGTTTCGCCTACAAGGGGCGTCGCAGACCGGGCGCTCAAGGATATATTACGCGAGCATAAACGAGCGCCACAAAAGAGAGCTCTCGACACGCCCGCTTCTCATATTGCACGCCCTGTGTTTTCTTCATTAGGGCGCCCCCCTATTCAAATCCCGTCGGGATAGACAAAAGAGGTTTCTCCCTCTTCTCTCTCTCTCTCTCTCTCTCTCACACACACACACACTATTTCTCACAGTGCGCGCACGCAAACGCCTCCTCCCGAGAGAAAAAACGACGACGAGCAGGCAATTTGCGCTAGAAACAATCAAAAAAGAAAAAAAAATACCACGCACCACGAAGTAGTCCGACCCGTCGTCCAGTACGCGACAGCGGAACAAAAGGCATAACGTGCGAAGCACGCCACGAAGAGAGACGGAGAGAGAGGCGTTAACGCGGCGCGCAGGCGCAAAACGTTTGCGCTGGGCGGCTATTTGCAAGTCAATAACTGCCGGCTGTGCACTCGACCGAAGACGACAACTCGGCGCTTCGCTCGAGGGCCAGAGCACAACTTGAAAAGAAGACTTTCGTGAAGGGCGTTCTCGGGGCGCCTCAGAGGAGGGGGCTTTCTTTTTTTTTTTTTGAAGTGCGGGGCATCTTGAATAGGAAAAGAACTTCGGAAATGAAACGGAATTTCTGGTTAACGCAAAAGGAAACTATCTTTACGTCTACACACTGGCGAGGGGGAAAAAAGGTCCTACCAGTGCAAACGTAGAGAAATAACAAGACGAAATATAGACTAGAGCACTCATAATTTAAAAAAAAAAAATACTGGATCAGTAAGTCATTACGGAACAACAAGAGGACGGTTCGCTATCGGTGGCGAATGGTCACCCGCTGTCTCCTAACGTTGCCTTCCACTGGGCAACAGTGGGGTAACGCTGGCTCACAATTTCGCTACGTCGCGCACGCGACAGTTAAATCTCGGAGAAGTTGGCCGATGCTCTCGCGCCCACATTCGAAACGCATTACTTTTCGTGGTTAATACGTGGAGCGCATCACGCACGTCATTTCTCCTGCCATCGAGAGCCATCGATCCAAGTAGTTCAAAGAGAAAGATAGTGTGCCATGTCGTCGCGCAAGGTGACGCCGGTTCAGCCCCAGACGTGTACGATACGCGTCGCCTTTTCCGAGTATCGAAGGTGATGTCGACGGAGCACTCGTCACGGCAGCTTGTGTGCGTGTCTTTATATATATATATATATATATATATATATATATATATATATATATATATATATATATATATATATATATATATATAAACTCATGCATGCACTCCACTCGGCACGACGACGAGCGGCGTTTCACGATTGATGAACCGGCTGGAAGCTGTCACGCGCCGATCAGATGCATGCACGTTGGATGCAGGCAGGTGAGCATATGTCTGCCGAGAGAAGAAGAGGGGGTGCTCAACCTCACTTCCGAGAACCGGCTCTGACAGGCGAAGCAGTCCCGCAAGTGTTGACGCGTCGTTTCAACGCCCTCGAATAGAACGACGACAGACAGACGCGACTTCACCGCGTAAGTTGGAAACAATGACAGCTGTAACAGAAATACAAAGAGCAGCCGGCAGAGATTGATATGTAGACTATATGTAGCCGGTAAGTGTAGCTAACTTTGTGTTCGTATCGAAATGTCGAAATGCGAGGATGTCGTGACCTATGGTAAACTACGTTCCGTAGAGTCTATGGGATTCTTTCCCGTCCCCCCTGCACCTTTCTTTGGTTGCTGTGGAAAGGGAGCAAAGAGGGAAGGTTTGATTTGACAGTCAAAATGCGAGGGATGTAATTAAGAAAAACGGCTATATTTAATTGCACTTACTCTGCCGCTCTGCTACCTGAATCGCCATACATGAATATTCAATTAGCCCAGCCACGTAACTTGACTTTGTCGCCTTCTCCTCCACACTTTCCATTTCTGGTATACATCGTGATAAACGTCGCGAAGACGCCCATCGCCGTGTCAGGCACGAGCAATCCGATGTGGGATGCGTTTTGGTACAGATACGCGGCGCTGTCCTACACAGGGCATCAGTGTACCGAACCAGCGCGGTGACTCGTGTGAAACCCATTTCAAAGAAAATGGTGCTATCAGCATTGTTAAGTAAACAACAACAACGAAAAAAGTCCTCTATTTTGGTAAGTCCTCACTTGCCTGGTATACGACTCTTATAAATGAGACACATTAACTCCGTTAGGGAGATGGATGTTGCAGTCTTCTCGGAAAGTCAAGGAACTTGGAAAAGAGTTGACACGTAGTTGTGTTTTTTTCTTTGCTTTTTTTTAATTAGGAGCTTTACGCAACACGTCGGGACTACCAAACACGGGTAACAAACATAGAGCTTTCTTTTCATTTGTTTATTTTTTGTTCATCTGTTAAATAACAAAAGGAAAACAGATCACGTATATCATAAAGAAATCGAACGCACTTACTTGACTTTCTCATTAAAAAAACATAAGATAACGTTGTTGTTGTTTTTTTTTTTTTTTGTAAGAGAGACCGGGTTATCGACGACCATCCCTTCATCCTCTATTACCCCGCGGAACGGTGTTACCGAAAGCGAGAGTTGTCCAGAAAGCGCATTTTTTAATGAATATGACCCCGCGAGAAGCCGTCGTTCGGGAAACCGTATGAAACACTGGCGACATGCTCCTGCTAACTTCATGACTGGTGTGCTCCTCCGAAGTCCACGATGGCGCCCGCACCAGTTGGAGACCGTTGGAACACCGCATAAATAGTGGTAGCAGCGCACTTACCCTTTCGCTGTCGCTCTCACTATCACACTGCAAAGGGAGAGAGAAAGAAACGAAACAATCTGTTAGCACAAATGTATACCGGCGGCCCTAAAGATAAAGAAGCAACGGGAAGACATGAAAAGCTAAACGTACAAATACTCAAGCGTATACCTTCACTGAGCACGAAGGTTTCGGCTAACATATTCATTACGGTGTCTAGGAAGGGTTGTTGGACATGAAGCAACTGGAAGACAAGTAAAACCTAAGCGTTTCACAGCAAATATTAACAACCAATATGCCTTAACTGTTGTTATCAAATAAAAAAGACATAGCTTTGTGCCAGAAAGACATTTCCACTAACGAAATTATGAATTATGTTACGTTCTTTGTAACATTTGCAAAACGAAACCCTGCTACGTAGATGGTAATGCATTGTCATGCGATCAATGGCCACACTTATTGCTAGAAATAAGTGTTCAAAAATTCAATTGCCCCCCCCCCCCCCCATCGACATCAGCAAATCACTGCTTCCTCCGGTAGCGGCCCATCATAGACTAAATGACCATGTCAACTGATGAAGTCATGTGGCGGCGTTTACATCTAATATCTAGCGATTACGTCATGACAACGTCACGAAGTTTGAACATCAGCGTAGTCGTGATAGCGATGTCACGTCGCTACGTCAAAGCGTGACGTCACTAGCGGCGCAGGTCACACGGCTTTTCGTAAGACATCAGGGACTGCGCAACGATATACTTAGCCTTTCGCCTTGATGAAACAAAGGCCCTTGCGTCACATTTAGAAACATGGAACCTCGGGAGCAGCTAAATGGCGTCACGACGGCACAATACACAAACGGGGACGCATGACGCAAGCACCACTTATCCTTATACGAGTCACGCTTACATGATCTCCAAAGAACGCGTAAGCCATTCGCACTAAAGTTCTCGGTTTTAAATTCAATGCGGCAATTACAAACAGTAGTCCTTCATCAATAACTCGCAGCGTTATGGCCTTGGCTGTCACTGCCCTAGAACACAACACAGGAAAATCATGTTTTAACGCAAGGACAGCATTAAAATGAAACGGCAAAGGAGCAAGCAAGCTCTGTGGCGATGAAAAGAACGTCAGAACACAAACGCGCTCTCTTGTACGTAAATAGCTACACAACCATTTTCCCGCGAAGTTTTGTTATTAACGTATTCTGCTCATCCACGCCGTTGATGACCTGGCTATTATTTTTTGTTGCTTCCTTGTTTGTTTATCTGTCTGTCACTGCATACACAAGCGGTACAGTGCCATTCGTACACGCGTAATGTCAAATTTAAACAATGTTTGCCGTTTTGCCACCTACACCGTCATCAAAGCACTGCAAAGAAAAAAAAAACTACGGCGTCAACATTCGCCTTTCCAGCTACACTAAAGGCACAATCCTTTATGCTTGGACGCCGCTACCAAGAACGACACGAGGTTTAACAAAATGAAAAAAATAAATAAAAAGAAAACAAAACACAGACTGATTGAAAAGGAAGGAAGAGAAGAAACACAACTGATGCACGCCTTCCGTTTCCCACTGTCCACGGAAAATCTGCTCCGATCTCTCGACATATAAGAAAAATGAGAGAGAGAGAGAGAGAGAGAGAGAGAGATAGAGAGAGAGAAACGGAACACATCCCCAAGCGTTAAGAAATGTGTCAAGAGTTGATTCAAGAAGAGAGAGCATGCAAGAAGAGGCCGGATATCCCGGCGGCGATACAGGGAAAGGAGGAAGAAGAGTCGACGGCCTCCGTATCACTCCTCCGGCTCAGTTACATCCGTCACGAAAGGCCGTCATTACAGCACGCACGCGACTCAGAAGCCGCAATCAAACTCGAGCTGCACGCAGAGAGCGCGAGAGAGAGCAACGGCAATCAGTAACCGCGTGCAGCGCCGAGGGAGTCATCGGCAAACACGCTGTTTCCATCCACCCCTCTTCACCCCCCCCCCCCCCCCCAAACCGAAACGCCTCGACTGGAAACGCCTTTGACGTTTGCCGACGCTGACAGGGAGGGGTATGCAGCGGCGGTCGTGCGGCGCTGCAGAAGCGCGTGCTCTGCCAACATCGCAGTCGGTTGTCGTTTATGTTATCGTTGCTTCTCAGACCCCTTCCTGAACCCGAAACGCTTTCACTCGCGCCCTACTGCACACGACATACACGCGAGTTTCAACCGGAACATACAACGACGGCCCAACAAGAAGTCGCTTGAAGTAAGAAACGAAAGAAGCAGGAAGACGTGAAGGAAGAAATAAAGAAAGAAAGAAAGAAAGAAAGAAAGAAAGAAAGAAAGAAGAAAAGAAAGAAAGAAAGAAAGAAGAAAGAAAGGAAGCAAAATCTACAAACAAGACCTGACAGATCTTAGCAGGCCAAACAAGACCACAGTCCCTCAAGCAGAGCAGAAAGAAGAAAAATGCAAAAGAAGAGGAATAAAACGAATAAAACATCAAGAAAGTCCCGGCGCAAAAAGCATACACGTCGCACGCACACACACACACAAAGATGTTCAACAAAGAAAACGATGGCACCAGATATCAGAGCTGTCGCCATCCGATCGAGAAGGGTGAAAGAAAGAAAAGAAAGAAAATGAGGGGAAGCAAAATCGGCAATGCGCCCGGTCAACTTGTCTCCCGACGCTCGAAGAGACAATTCCGGCGGCGGGAGATGGCGGCTCGTTGCGACTGGCGGATGTAATGACAGGGAAAATGCGAAGGAAAGCAGAAAGAGAGCGGTAGGAAATAACAGCAGCCGCCAAGTGACGAGAACAAGCGAGCAAAAGAGACGACAAGGGACAGACGGGAACGTAGATGGTCACTTTCCCATTGAATCACATCCCCATCAACCCTAAGCTCAAGGCCATTCAGGAGACGCTGTATGTAGCGTTTGGGGTGAACGGAGATCAACGCGGTGCGCAGGCATGTACTGCTGGGGCGTCAGGAGATCCCCACTAGCATCTCGAAGTAAATTAAAAAAATAAAGAGAAAGAGAAAGGAAATTCCACGGTTATTTGTGCATCTGCCTATACCAATCGGAAGGCGAGAACACACTACTCTTATTTCATGTCGTGTCAATCCGCGCGATCCCGCCCCATGAAACGCGTTCTCAAAAGCTGGCTTCACCTCAAGCGGCATTCTTGAGCGGAGAAACCAGCTTTACCGGGTACTGTGATCAAGACTGCGCAGGACGCGACACGCGAGAACAGCGATCTTGAGAGTTTGGAGCGCCTGACACTGACACTTCGCGAATCAATCGACCAACAGTTTATTATTATTATTATTATTATTATTATTATTATTATTATTATTATTATTATTATTTCACACAATGAAAAGTTGGGCGAGTCGGTTTGGATTCACATATGAACTACCAAACAAAAAAAAAACAGATGGAAAACAGGACGGCACGACTATATGTATGTTCATGTTACAAATTTTCCCTATAAGTGATGCCGTCAACACGCTCTGAAATGAAGGATACATGGGCCGGTCACAAAAAACTACTGCCACCACGAGTATAGAGATTTAGAAAAACGAAAACTATAACAAAAGCAAGCTCTTCAGCCACATTGTCACAGTGACAATACTGCGAAAAATAAGGGTGTCAAATGAAGCGCCCCAAAAGGAAAGTGGCGCCGGTAAAGAACAAGCTAGACTGACGAGTGACGTGTGCGAAAGGGAGAGAAAACAAAAGAAAGAAAGAAAGAAAAAAAGAAGAAAAGAAAGAAACAAAGAAAGATCGAAAAAAAAATAGGGCAATGCACATGAGCATCATAAGATGATGAAAAAGGACAAGAACCCAGAGATCAGAAGCAGCGGGGCGGAATCGCTGCGAAGGGGCAAAAAAATGAAGAAAAAGAAGATAGCTAAACAGCGACGGGAACTTGGTAAAGAGTAACAAGAATGGTATAGTGAAACGAGAAATACAGAGAAAGAGAGAAACGGAACAGCAATGCAACGAGGAGACCACTTTCCACTGCAGAAAACAAAAAGCGAAGTAATATAACGCGGACACCCAGAAGACAATCTCCCGCACAAATAATCGTCAAATATCCGCCGGAGCGAAAAAACCTCCCCCTGCTCCCTTTTCAGTCATCTCGCCGCGCTCCTCGGTGCGCTTATTTTTACTTTCCTTATCTTTCTTTCTCGCTCCTCTAATTCTGCGCCAGTTCATTTCTTTTCTGATCCTTCGTCTGCAGCCGCTCATCGTTTTTACCCTAGCGAATCTGGAAGAGAAGCGGCCGAAGAAGAACAGGACGGGGAATTGGATCGGGAAAAAAAATTGAATATACAACGGTGGAAAGAAAACGGAGCAAACTAGACGATAGGAGGACGGGACTACACGCCACACATACGCTGGCGAAGAAAAAAAAAAACGAGCGCATATAGCCCCCCCCCCCTCCCACTCCCTAACCTAAAAAAAAAAAAACGACGAGAAGACGAACTGTCGACAAACTGCTGGGTTCGAGAAATTGATTTCTGCCGCGAGTCCCTGCCCCCGCACGTTCTCTTTATTTCCGCCCCGTTGGATGCCCCCTGGTGGTCCCCTCTCTCTCCTTCGTTTCTCCATATCCTACTCTTCACCGTCGTGATTCCAATGTCTACAAACCTGTCCTTCTCTCTTCTGTCTTTTTTTTCTTCGCTTGGAATGAGTACAACTCACCCTCGCTCCCTCGCCCTTCCTTTTTCTTCTTTTTTCCTCGGCGACTTTTCCGGAGTTGTCCTTGTTCGCCCGCCCGTCTTTACAAATCTGGCTCCCGGTATACGGCGCCATGTCATTTCCAAAGGAAAAGAATGGGACGCGCGCCGATATCCATCGCCTAGCTCGGCATAACCACACAAGCGCTTATGCGCAGTGTTGTAAAGCTGTATCTATATGTTTTAACAGGGCATCTTTACAACGCGGGCGACAGCACAGCTGGTTCTTGTTCGATTTCTTACTGCACTATTTGCGATGTCGCTGCAGCTGATGCGGCGGCATTAAGCTGTTTCGGCGTACTGTGATAGGAGGCAAACAA